TTACCATCTGGTCCTTTATAGTAAAGGTTTGCTGACCTCTGCTTTATTTTTTATTTTATTTTATTTTTTTAAAGATTTTTATTTATTTATTTGAAAGAAAGAGCATGAGCGAGAGAGATAGCATGAGCAGGGGGAGGGGGAGAAGCAGACTCTGCTGCTGAGCAGGGAGCCTGACGCGGGACTCGATCCCAGGACCCTGAGATCATGACCGGAGCTAAAGGCAGACGCTTAATGACTGAGCCACCCAGGCGCCCCTGACCTCTGTTTTAGAGACATATTTGTTTGTTTATTCAGCACCCCATCAATCTAGAATTGTGGGAACACTAAAAATGTACTTTATAATGATACTGCTACAGACGTGGTGACCATCAGTGTGAAAATCAGTTCCAGCATACCAACATGAATACTTCCTCAGGAAAGAGAGGAGACAGAATACTCTTTGTTAGCTTGAATGTTCTAAATGATAACATTCATATCTCTACTTACTTATTAGATTAATTGCCAACTAGCTGCTAATGTAATAAATGTGCTTTAGAAATCAGAAAGTCCACCTCCCCATTAAGTGAACTGCATTAACATTAGATAAATAAGTTATTTCTTGCAAACCTAATCTATTTTATTTGTACCTGCCATTGAAGACTACGTCTCAGATTTTAAGGACTCTGGATTTCCATCTTAGGCAGATGGCTGCTGGTCTGGTGACAACATTGGAAAGGCAAGTTAAAAATGACTATTTCTATCAAAAGAAAAGGGGTATTTCTCTCTCACTGTGGTTTGCAAGGTACTTAGTACCACCTGGTATACCCACAACAGCAGTTCTCAAACTCTTTGGTCTTAAAACTCCTTTACACTCTTAAACATTATTGAGGGGCCCAAGGAGCTTTTGTTTATGTAGATTTTATCTATCAATATTTACCCAATATAAACTGAAAATGAAATTTAAAAAACATTTATTTGTTATATCATTTTAAAAATATAAAAACAAACCCAGTACATCATAACAAAAATAGCATTTTAATGGAAGACAACTGTAAAAAATAGCCAGAAAAATGACTTTCCTTTACATTTTTGACAATCAGTTTAATAACTTAATGGCTTAATAGGAGGCAGCAGGATTCTCATATCTGTTTCTGCATTTAATCTGTTGTGATATTAGGCATCATGCCACTTCCAGAAAACCATTGTACACATGTGAGAGAATGAGAGTGAATTAAGAAAATAATATCTTAGTATTATTATGAAAACAGTTTTGACCTCATGTAGTCCCCTGAAAGGGTCTTGGGACCTTGGACAACACTTGAAGGACTGCTGGACTACTCACCTCCTTCCTCCCTGGCTTCCTATTTCCCTGAAATACATGGGAATATTACCAAGTCCTCCACGTCTGGAGTCCAATTCAACATGTATTCATTAACCCTTTGCCCTGAAGAAAAATTTACATTTTAGTAAGGCAACCCAATTAAGTCCATTCTGTCACTGATTGTGTGTGTGTGTGTGTGTGTGTATGTGTGTGTTTATGTGTGGCCTTGGGTAAGTCATTTCACATCTGTGAACCTCAATGTTCTCATCTGTAAAAGAAGGCAACGGCATTAGACCAGGGGTTTTATACCTGACATATTTGGATATCTAAAGGTTACCAGAATGATAACAAGGGGACTGGGGATCCTGATGTCCTATAACCATTGTCTGAATTGGATATAACGTATTTTCCCCACATATTCATACTGAAAGTTTTCAAATGTATATCGAAATTAGTCTCATGATACTAAGTAACAAAATTTAGAAAATTAAGATCTTTATCTCAGTCACTTTTAGTCATGATATATTTTCTTAATTAATAGATATAAGTCCAACTGCTAACACATAGGTAGCTATAATACCATCAAATGCTAAAAGCTAGAAAGAGGTCCTCCTTAATAAACTCAGAACTATTTTTCCAGCTGTGACATGAAATAATTGTACTATCTTATTCTGATTCTGATCACAAAAAAACTGTGGGGGTCCACAACCACCATGTCCATTGTCCACATGCTTTTCTATAATATGACTTTGCCACTCCCCCATCAAGGTGTGGAGTCTAACTCCCCTTTCCTTGACTCTGAGCTGGCTTTATGACTTACATGTAACTAACACAATGCAGCAGAATTGATGCTCCATGACTTCCAAGGCTAGGTCAGAACAGGCCACACAGCTTCTCTGTACTTTTGGGATGCTTTCTCTGGGAAAAGCCAGCCACTGTGTGGGAAATGTGACTAACCCAAGACCACTATGTAGGCACTCTGGTTGACCAACCAAGCTGAGCCCAGCCTTTCAGCCATCCCATGTGCCAGGCACGTGAGCAAAGCTAGACTGAACTCTCGAAACAAGCTCCTCCCCCAGCTGAGTATCACGGAGTGACTTCTGTCAACATCATAAGAAGCAGAATTGCCTCATTGAATCTTGCCTCCATTTCTGACCCTCAAAACCATGACATGTAATAGCATAGTTAAGTCACTAGGCATTGAGATGGTTTCCTATGCAGCAATAGATAACCAGTATTGCCTATTAACCAGTATTATCAGCAGTAGTAGTATCTGAGTAAGTCATCAGACTTTGCTGAGCCTTGGTTTCCTGAAGAGGTTGTTTGAGGTGATCTTCATGGTATCATCTCGCTCCTTAATGCTACTTTTCCCTTTTTCCACCTGAGACCATTTGTCTTTCAGTCCAAAGAGGAACAATGGCCTCTGCTTTGTGCTGAACAGGACCTGCTCCTCTCTGGGTTACTAAGGAGACTGGGCAAGATCCCCACAGTATGAATGACCTGGAGTCTACAGCTTTGGGGCAGTGAGGCTCAGCAGTGACCAGGGCCTTGGATAATCAACCCAGACAAAGGTGAGAATGGTCGCCTAGAGCCATATTAAGTGCTGCATGAGGGTTTTTCAGCTTTGTGAGCAAGTGCTCCCTGGAATGAAGGGAAACTGTTCAAACCCGTCAGAGCTAATGGGCCCTCTAACAAACCCCCAAGTCCTCTTGCACTGTAACAGAAGTCAGTTAGAGGGCAGATTAGAAGTGCTTAAGAGAGTATGAAGTAGAAAGAAGCCATTATAAGCCATTAACTGAGCAGCTTAAAACTGCTACACACTGACCCAATGGCTTATAATGGCACCAGGAAAGAGACTACAAAGCAGTTTGGTGACTTATTCCAAAACTGGGGGAGATGATGGGAGAGAAAGAACATAACAGCCATCAGGAAGTGAGGGTTAAAAGCTTACATCCAATTGACATCAGTGCACACCGCAGTTCCCAGCACCTAGCTCATGCTAATGGCAAAAGGTAGCAGTTCATGAAAGTTTCACACAATCTACTCAGGATACTAAAAAAATCCAAATATAATTTATTCATAAGGATAAAGTCTTTCCTGATGTCCCCAGGCAGAATGAATTTACCTTCTCCAGATAGCGGTTATACATCACTTATCACATCCCATCATGGCTATGACATTATTTATATCATTTGTAGTTTATGTTTAAATTTATGTTTCACTTAGTTAGGCAGTGAATTACAGGTTGTAGCTGTGAGAATGGTTTAAAATATGTCTTTACCCCACCACCTGATGCATAACAAGCATGCCACAAAGGTTCAGTGAATGAACGATGAATGAAGAATGAATGAACAAATAAAAGAATGAATTAATGAACGCATAAATGGTCTGAGTACTGTTCATAGGTGAAAGGGAATGAGATATACCAGGCTATAAACGGCTGCCTAAGACTTTAGGGAACTGCCTGATACATCGCTTTATCTTTTTCAGCCTAATGCCTGTCAGCAATTGTTTGAAAATGTGGTACCACCTCCAAAAATCCCGTTCTCTAGTTGTGCTCTAGGAAGATAGAGTCCTTTGTGAATACACTTATTCATGTGATGTGTTTTTGACTTAAGGATATGGTTGGAGGGAAATCAGAAATATATGGTGAGGTTGGAAAGGACACTCCCCCCCCTTTTTTAAGGGGTGGAGACTGAGGAGCTTTTTCTATATATACAAGACTAACATGGCCTGTGATTGGGTGGAAGTTGTCAGATATAATAGAAAGAATACAGCTGGGAGCCAGATTCCCCTGGAACTGACATGGAAATGAATCCTCCATTTTAACCATTTACTAGCAGGATATGGTAGCCAAGAAAACCGCCTTGCAGACCTCCCACTACAGGGAGTGTAACTGACCAAGATCCCCAGCTGCTGTGCCCTGAAATACATCCCTTATTTTACATACTTGCACTGAGACCAGGCTCCCAGTGTCTGCATGTGTAGGGGATATTAAGGCAGGCATGGGGGACATGAAACTTTCCTGCTGGCCAATATTGGCCCTTAGGACTCCCTGATGGCCTTGCTTAACCTTCCTTAGACGAATGGCATTCCAGGACATTGCTGCCCACCCCTTTCTCCCTCTCTCCTTTACTCATGGTCAGATTTGCATTGCGGTCTGCAGATTTCCGCCCTATGTTCCTAATAAAATCCTTGCATATTTAATCCTGTTTCTGGGATTATCTGGACTAACACGTGGAGTGACCTTAGACAAGTTACTTTATCTTTGAATCTATTTCCTCATCGGCAAAACAAAGTTAATAATGCCTGCTAGGTGGGAATTGTAAGAATGATTAAATATGATAACGCATGAAAAGCTCTTAACCCTGTGCTTGGAAAATATAGGTGCTTCATAAATGTCACTTCTCCCTTTCATGTCATTTGTTTTCTTATGAAATGTCCCTAGCAATGGGGTTAAACCATATTGACCTGGGCATTTGGGAATAAATGAAGCCTTGGTGTAACAAAATTGTCTTTTTTTAATTATAGTCACTCCCCCAAATTTGGGGAAAGTCTTACTTTGCAGACCTCTCTGAAATCTTTGATCTGTTTAATAATGTGGATTGAAAGGGAAAAAACAGCTGCAGGGGGAAATCTGATTAAACTTTGTGTGCTAGCTTTATTACTTCCTTCAGTAAGGTTAATGCCAAACACTTTACCTTGTCATCCAATTTCCGTGCATTGAATGCAAGTTCAACGTAGTCATCATTGCCAGATAATTCTTCTGCAATCACCTAAAGAAAAAAATTTTCAAATATTTTCAAGTGTTTTCCAGAAGCTTTTGAAGCCACTGTTCTGATCCAAGGACCCAAGATTAAAAGAAGTATTTAAATATTTAAAATGAGGAAGGAGATTAAATTTTTCTGGGATGTGTGGAGAAGCAAAATCTCCAGTCTTACAGTAAAGGTGGCAAGATGAGGTATTGTTCTTCTGGGAAAGAACAAAGGCCAAAGGCAAACCTCAAACCTGGATTCACCATCCCAAAGCTTCTCTGGGTTTGTGCACTTTGGGAGTGAGCCTTTGGATCCACGGCTTTATAGAGCACCAATGCGGTCTTCAAAGATTCTTTGGAATCGTTTGTATGGATTGAACGTGGAAGTAAAAAAAGAAAAAGCTTGATATGAATGCATCATTTAAAATATTCAAGCAACAAACTCAGGTTTGTGAGAGTGGTCATAACTTACACCACAGGGAATCTTTTTGCATTTTTCACTTAAAAATGACTTTAACTTTTTTTTAAAAAACGAATCGGTCACTTTCAAGTTAAAAAGGAATGTTCAAAGGATCTCAGGAGGTTTGCTGCCTGGCAGTTTACCCCCCCTAGCAATTTAGATTTTCCTGGTACATTTTTCTACCTTTTTTTTCTCTTGTCTACACAACGATGAGACCACTTTCTCTACCTTTCTCACAGGCTCTAAAACGAGATGCCAAAGTTTCAAGTACTGGAGTTTTACTTGAAATTTTAAGGTTTTATTTAGAAATACTTCCAGTATTGCCCAATGGAACATTATGTGATGACAGAAATGTATTATAATCTGCACTATCCAATACAGTAGCTGCTAGCCACATGTAATTACTTTTTTATTAATTTTTAAAAATTCCAGTTAGTTAACATATAGTATTATAATAGTTTCAGGTGTACAATATAGTAATACAACAATTCTCTACATTACTCAGTGCTCATCATGGTAACTGTATTCTTTAATCCCCAGCCCCTATTTCAGCCCCATCCCCACCACCCCCCTGGTAATCATCAGTTTTTTCTCTACAGTTAAGAGTCTATGCTTGGTTTGTCTCTCCTTTTTAAAAATCTTTTCCTTTGTTTGTTTTGTTTCTTAAATTCCACATATGAGTGAAATCATATGGTATTTGTCTTTCTCTGCCTGGCTTATTTCACTTAGCGTAATACTCTGTAGCTCCATCCATGTCATTGCCAATGGCAAGATTTCATTGTTTTTTATGGCTGAATAATATTCCAGGCATGTGTGTGTGTGTGTGTGTGTGTGTGTGTGTATCACATCTTCTTTATCCATTCATTTATCCATGGACCCTTGGGCTGTTTCCATAATTTCACTATTGTAAATAACACTGCAATAAACATAGGGGTTCATGTATCCCTTCAAATTAGTGTTTCTGTATTCTTTGGGTAAATACCCAATAGTGCAATTACTGGATCATAGAGTAGTTCTATCTTTAACTTTTTGAGGAACCGCCATTCTGTTTTCCACAGTGGCTACACCAGTTTGCATTCGCACCAACAGTGCAAGAGAGTTCCTTTTTCTCCACATCTTCACCAACACTGGTTGTTTCCTGTGTTTTTGATGTTAGCCATTCTGACAGGTGAGGTGATATCTCATTGTAGTTTTGATTTGTATTTCCCTGATGATGAGTGACACTGAACATCTTTTCATGTGTCTGTTGGCCATCTGTATGTCTTCTTTGGAGAAGTGTCTTCTGCCCATTTTTAATGGGATTATTTGTTTTTGGGATGTGGAGTTGTGTAAGTTCCCTATATATTTTGGATATCAACTCTTTATCAGAAATGTCATTTGCAAATATCTTCTCCCATTCAGTAGGTTGCCTTTTAGTTTTGTTGATCATTTCCTTTGCTGTGCAGAAACTTTTTATTTTGATGAAGCCCCAATAGTTTATTTTTGCTTTTGTTTCCTTCGCCTCAGGAGACATATCTAGAAAAAAGTTGCTATTGTCCAATGTCAGAGAAATTACTGCCTATGCTCTCATCTAGGATTTTTACAGTTTTAGGTCTCACATTTAGGTCCTTAATGCATTTTGAGTTTATCTTTGTGCATAGTGTAAGCCAGGGGTCCAGTTTCATTCTTTTACATTTAGCCATCCAGTTTTCCCAACACCATTTGTTGAAGAGGCTGTCTTTTTCCCATTGCATATTCTTTCCTCCTCTGTCAAAGATAAATTGACCATATAAATGTGGGTTTATTTCTGGGCTTTCTATTCTATTCCATTGATCTATGTACCTATTTTTGTGCCAGTCCCATACTGTTTTGATTACTACAACTTCACTGTACAAACTGAAATCTGGAATTGTGATACCTCCAGCTTTGTTTTTCTTTTTCAAAGTTGTTTTGGCTATTTGGGGTCTTCTGTGGTTCCATACAAGTTTTAGGATTGTCTATTCTAGTTCTGTGAAAAATGTTGTTGGTATTTTGATAAGAAGTGCATTGAGTGTGCAGATTGCTTTGGGTAGTATGGACATTTTAACAATATTTGTTCTACCAAACCATGAGCTTGGAGTATCTTTCCACTTGTTTGTGTCATCTTCAATATCCAGAGTACAGGTCTTTCAGGTCCTTAGTTAAATTTTTCCTAGGTATTTAATTTTCTTTGGTGAAATAATAAATGAGATTGCTTTCTTAATTTCTCTTTCTGTTGCTTCATTTTTAGTATATAAAAATGCCATGGATTTTTGTATGTTGATTTTGTTATCCTGCAACCCTACTAAATTCATTTATCAGTTCTAGTAATTTTTTTTAAAGATTTTATTTATTTATTTGACAGAGAGAGAGAGCACGCACACATAAGCAGGGGGAGTGGCAGGCAGAGGAAGAGGGAGAAGCAGGCTCCCCACCGAGCAGCGCGCCTTATGTGGGGCTCAATCCCAGCACCCTGAGATCATGACCTGAGCCAAAGGCAGATGCTTAACTGACTGAGCCACCCAGGCACCCCAGTTCCAGTAGTTTTTTGGTGGAGTGTTTAGGGTTTCTCTATATAGTATCATGTCATCTGCAAATAGGGAAAGTTTTACTTCTTCCGTACCAATTTGGACGCCTTTTATTCATTCCTCTTGTCTGATGATGGGGCTAGGAAGTCCAGTACGATGTCAAATAACAGTGGTGAGAGTGGGCATTCCCGTCTTGTTCCTGACCTTAGAGAAAATGCTCTCAATTTTTCACCATTGAGTATAATGTTAGCTGTAGGTTTTTTGTATATTATGTGAAGTATGTTTCCTATAATCCTGTTTTTTGAGGGATTTTATCATGAATGGATGTTATACTTTGTCAAACGCTTTTTTGGCATCTATCAATGTGATCATATGATTTTTATCCCTTCTTTTATTGATGTGATGTATCACATCGATTTGCAAATATTGAACCATGCTTGCATCCCAGAAATAAATCCCACCCACCTGATTGTGGTGAATGATTTTTTAAACGTATTGTTAGATTCTGTTCGCTAGTATTTTGTTGAGGATTTTTGGCACCTACATTCATCAGAGATACTGGCCTGTAGTTCTGTTTTTCTGCAATGTGTTTCTCTGGTTTTGGTATCAGTGATATTAGGAAGTTCTCCCTCCTCTTCTATTTTTTGGAATAGTTTGAGAAGAATAGGTATTAATTCTTCTTTAGATGTTTGGTAGAGTTCACCTGTGAAGTCATCTGGCCCTGGACTTTTGTTTGCTGGGAGTTTTTTCATTACTAATTCAATTTCATTGCTGGTAATTGGTCTGTTCAAATTTTTTATTTCTTCCTGATTCAATTTTGGGAGGTTATATGTTTCTAGGAATTTATCCATTTCTACTAGGTTGTCCAATTTGCTGGTATAGGATTTTTCATAATATTCTCTTATAATCTTGTGTATTTCTGTGGTATCAGTTGTTATTTCTAGTTCCTTTAGATATAAGCTTAGGTTGTTTATTTGGGACTTTTCTTGCTTCTTGAGGTGGGCCTATATTGCTATAAACTTCCCTCTTAGAACAGCCTTTGCTGTGTCCCACAGATTTTGGACCATTGAATTTTCATTTTCATTTGTCTCCATGTATTTTTTTATTTTGTTTTTGATTTCTTGGTTGGCCCATTCATTGTTCAGTAGCATGTTATTTAACCTCTGTGTATTTGTGTGCATTCCATGTTTTTTCTTGTGGTTGATTTCCAGTTTCAGAAAAGATGCATGGTATGATGTCCATCTTTTTTTAATATGTTGAGACTTGTTTTGTGGCCTAATAGGTTATCTATTCTGGAGTACGGGCCATATGCACCTGAAAAGAATGTGCATCCTGCTGTTTTAGGATGGAATGCTCTGAATATGTCTGTTAGATCCATCTGGTCCAATGTGTCATTCAAAGCCACTGTTTCCTTGTTGATTTTCTGTTTGGATGATCTATCCATTGATGTAAGTAGAGTGTTAAACCCCCCCTACTATTATTGTATTACTATTGATTAGTTCCTTTATGTTTGTTATTAACTGCTTTATGTATCTGGGTGCTCCCATCTTGGGTGTATACATATTTATAATTCTTATATCGTCCTGTTGGATTGTACTGTTTATGATTATATAGTGTCTTTCTTTGTCCCTTGTTACAGCCTTTGTTTTAATGTCTGTTTTGCCCAATATAAGTATTGTCACTTTGCCTTTCATTTTACTTCCATTTGAATGATAAATGTTTCTCTGTCCTTTCATTTTCAGTCTGTATGTGTCTTTAGATCTGAAATAAGTTTTTTACAGGCAGCCTATAGATGAGCCTTTATTTTTTTTAAATCTACTCCATCACCCTATGTCTTTTGATTGGAGCATTTAGTCCATTTACATTCAAAGTAATTATTGATATGTGTGTATTTATTGCCATTTTGTTACTTATTTTATGGTTGTTTTTGTAGTTCTTCTCTGTTCCTTTCTTCTCTTGAAGAAAGTTGGCTTTCTTTAGTAAAATATTTGGATTCTTTACTCTTTATTTTATGCATATCTATTACTGTTTTTTGATTTTTGGTTACCATTCAGTTTATATATAATGTCTTCTGCTTATAGCAGTCTATGTTAAGCTGATGGTTGCTTAATTTTGAACTCATTCTTTACTCCTCTCCTGTTTATGTTTCAGATGTTTGGTATCACATTTTACATCCTTTTATTTTGTGCTTCTCTTGACTGATTTTTAAGGATAAACTTTTTTTTTTTTTTTGCTTTTGTGCTTCCTGTTTTTCTTACTCTTACTTGTGGTATTTGTTTTCTACTCACACAGTCCCCCTTAACATTTTTTGTAAGGCTGGTTTAGTGGTCATGAATTCTTTTAATTTTTGTTTATCTGGGAAACTATTTCTCCTATTCTGAATGATAACCTTGCTGGATAGAGTATTCTTGACTGCAATTTTTTCCCTTTCAGCACTTTGAATATATTGTGCCACTCTCTACTGGCCTGCAAAGTTTCTGCTGGAAAATCAGCTGATAGCCTTATGGAGTTTCCTTTGTATGTAACTGCCTAGTTTTCTCTTGCAACCTTTAACATTCCTTCTTTACCACTATGTTTTGCCATTTAATTACTAGGTGTCTTGGTGTGGACCTCCTTGGGTTATTTGTTGGGGGATTTCTCTGCTTCCTGAATCTGGATCTCTGGTTCCCTCCCCACATTCATAGCCACATGTAACTACTGAACACTTAATATATGGCTAGTGTAAGGTATAGATATTTTCTTTTATTTAATTTTGAATAATTTTATTTAAGTTTAAATAATCACATGTGGGTAGTGGCTACTAAATACAATAACATAACTCCAAACTAATATATTAAAGAGGATAGTTAAATGCTGAGCTATCTGGTCCTTAGGAAACAAACCTAACCTTGGACCAACTGCTATTAGAGCAGATTTTTAATTCTCAAAAAAATGAGAGGCAGGGATAGGTAGCTTGATGATCTGAAATTTTATATTCTTAATGTTCTTGACAACTCCATCTTTGTCCCCCACTAAAACCTACATATTAACTGCAGAAGTGCTTAGTAGAAGTGAATGGCCTCACTTTCAAATCCTTTTTCTATCCCTTTTCCCTAGGGGTAGAAGGGTCAAAATTGTATTGGCAAAAAGGAAAAAGGAACAAGAAGGGAAGGAGTAATTTGGATAACTAAGCAGTTGTGGCATCAACTCCCAATAGTCAGAGGGTTTGCTTCCTACTGTAAGGTTTGGACCAGATGCTCCATCTGGGCATCTGGACAGAGGGCTGCTAAGGAAGGGCTTACCGTGATGGAGGATTTCCCTGCTGTGTTTCCATGCTTCAACAAGGATTTAGACAGTTTTCTCTGGGAAACAATCTGCACAAAAGGAAACAAAAGGTGGAGATACTAGTTATATGATTGTAGATCTACTTTTTAATTTTTTCTTTACAAAATTCTGTATTCACAACTCAACTGGAAATTATAACACTATGTCTATTTATTTTCTAAGGTTTTTTCCATGAAACTCTCCTAAATACAGGTTATTCCCTTCTTTTTTCTTATGGCATGTGATGTAAGAGAGTGAGGGCATGAGAAATTATAGATGAGTCAGTCAATTAGGAGGTGACTCAATCTGAAGCACCTACAACAAAATTAGATGGAAAATGTTGGATATGTACCTTCTGATAAAACAGATAAAGTTTCAGAATGATCTCAAATTAGCCCTAAAACCTCTGTGCAAAGTGGGGGTGGGCTACAGGAAGGAAAAGAAACCCAAGGTCTAAATATACACTTTCTATATCTATAATCTCTAGAGTTCTGTTTTTAACATATTCATTAGGGAGCTATAAAGTCAGTCATTAGAAAACTGATGCCCAGACAAGCAAAAAGAAGTAATTGGGGTCCTCTTCATGATTCAGTGTCAATGCACAACATGCAATGACAACTAAAGTTGCTATTATATTGGGAGCTATTCTTAGCAGAACTTGCCCCACCCTGCTCTTCCTTCCCATTTTTGAAAGAAATGTATGGCAAGGTATTGGGGCCCTGATGGATATGCAATCCATGATTTTCAAAGGAGAAAAGATTTAATCAAATAACAGCTGTGCTCTTGCTGAGGGAGAACAAAGTCATACCTTGCAGTAGACAGCTTCTATATAAGATGGCTCCCACTGGTCCTATTCATGCCATTGTGCAATTCTCTCTCCTTGAGTGTGGGATGGATCTAATAACTTGCTTCTAATGAATAGAATACCACAAAAGTGGTGGAGTATCTTTTCTGAGATTAGGTTACAAAACGAATGTAACTTCCTTCTTGATCACCATCTTATTCTTCTCTCTCAGAGCCCTTGTGCTGAAGGGAGCAAGTTGCAATGTTGTGAGTAGCCCTATATAGCAGCTCAGGTAACAACATACATATGATTTATAGAATAGGAAAGGAGATCACTGTAAAAAGCAAGGATACAAACCCATTCTCTGACATCCTTATATCTTTTTGTCTCTGTGTTAGAGCAATGAAAATATTTTGTCTAGGCTAGTGTCAAATGCAAAAAGTTCATAGAACTTTCCTAGGCCAAGCAGATTTAAAGATCCTGATGCTCAATTGGCTATCTGAAGAGAAAAGAGTATTTCTGTAAGAAATCACCTGGTGATGGATGATGATAATGACGACAACGAAGATAATGATGATAATGACAGCAATGGGAACTCCCATTTAAGGAGTACACATTCCCAAAATATTTACTTAGCTTTCATTGTTCCAGCCTCAGTGTTAGGCACTAAGAATAGAGTGGTAAGCAAAGTAAGATGCAATATCTGACCTAATGGAACTTACATTCTGTGGCAGAGAAAGGCATTAACCAAATGGTCAAATAAACCAATATAACTCAGCACAAAAGAGAGATGCATTGGCTGTGGTGGGAACAATAAATGGATAGGTGGTGGGATGGATGAGAGTAGACCACTTCAGAATCTTTTGCAGTAGTCCAGGCAAGAGGTGGTGGTGGTCGTGGAAATGGAGAGAAGAGGAAGGAATTTGGAAATGGATTAAAAATGAAGAGAGCAGGAGGTATGATAAATGATAAATGCATCACTGGATCAGATGGTTGTGCCATTCATTGAGATAAGGGACACTGAAAGAGGATATTAAATTTGGGGAGCAAAGAACACGTATTCAGGTTTGGGGCAGAAAGCAGATTGGAGTAGGTTGAAGAAGAGAGAAAGAGGGAAGGAAACAGAGCAAACACAAGAAGACAATTATTTCAATAAGTTTGGCTATAAAATGAGGTAGAGAACACAGAATCTGAAGGAAATGAGAAATTGAATAAAGTTGTTTTAGTGGTCACTTTATTGCTAATTTTATTTCCCCACAAATTTGGTATTGTTAATTTCCTTTTATAGATGACAGAAATAGGACACAGAGATTTTAAGTAATTTTCCAAAGCCCCAAGGCTAAGAGGAAGTGGCAGAGATTTGAACATGGGTCTGACTCCAGAAACTGATCTCTGGCTACATTTGACTGGTATATGAACTCATGAAACAGATTCAGAAAATTTTCACTGCTGGATTTGGACTCTATGTGTTTGCTTTTAAGCCCTGGATCTTATGTTTGTGTGCTTAACCCTCAATATGTAAATATGAAGAAGACTGAAGAGAAATGATCAAGTTAAACCTCAAGAATGGAGTAATCTGAAGACACTGGCTTTGGTTAAGGGCAGTGTAGCATAATGATTAAGAACATAGTTGTTTTTTTTTATTCACAGCTGGCTATCAATAAAATGACATGAAAAAATTTCAGATGATAAAGGAATTGGCATCCCTTCCTATAGTTACGTCTGAATCTAAATTACTCATATTTCCCACCCTACTCATTGAGAAGGTTCAAGTGGTTCTTCTCCTGTAGTCAGAATCATTATCCCCTCTCCCTTCCAATTCACAGATTATCACAGGTTTTAGAAAAGCTACCATTTCCTAGAAAAATGTAGACATCATTCTTGAACTTGAGATGAACGAAAACACAGAGGAAACACAGGAAACAAACAGGAAAAGGACATTAGGAAGATTTTATAGTTTCTCTCCAGGAGGTTTTCAGCAAGGAGGAATAGAGAAAACACATGAATCAATGACAAAACAAGGGTCACTGGTAAGCAGCATCCAGGCCAACATCTGACTAAAGAAAGGCAACATATCCTGTTTCTCAAATAAATTTGGCCCCAGAAATACTATTGTCCATTGTCATTGCTTCATCCACATGGGTGTCCTACCCCTATGGTTTCAAGTGACCCCAACCATCCTCTCAGCATTGTAAAAACCCACTGGATTACCAGGTGTGGGTATGGGTACACTTTCTTTTTCTTTTTTTAATGTTTTATTTATTTATTCATGAGAGTCAGAGAGAGAGAAAGAGAGAGAGAGGCAGAGGCAGAGGCAGAGGGAGAAGCAGTCTGCCCACCTAGCAGGGAGCCCAATGTGGGACTCGATCCCAGGACCCTAGGATCATGACCTGAGCCAAAGGCAGACTCTTAACCATCTGAGCCACCCAGGCGCCCTGGGTATGCTGTCTTTACAGACTGTGTCTTCCAAGATCCACATTTTCATTCTTCAAGCAAGACCAAGGGAGACTTAACTTACAAGATGTTGGATGGTCACATTCTCTTTCCTCACTCTTATCTAGAAATGCCAACATTCCCATTTGTTGGGTGTGAGGAGAATGCTATTATGTTCCAACTCCTGTCTCTTGCTAATGCTAGGAAGATAAACAATCTCCCCAGAAATATTCCTGTTTAATAAGTAAGCATTTGGGTATACAAATGACTAATCAAGCAGGCAATCAAACAAACTTATTTTACAGCTCCCCCGCCTCCATCTCAGCTCCAAAGAATGAGTAATAATTAGGGTTTCAAACTTTTCATTGTAATAAAGATCAACAAACAATGATGTTGCCATTCTTAGGACTGTTGGGCAAAAGTGGTGGGGATGGCCAGCTGGGCCAGTGATCTATAGAGAAAAGGCTATTTGTTGCAAATCTCACTTGTCATGTAGGCTTTCTTGCAGCTGAAGCAACTGAATTAGGCTCAGGAAGGCCTTAGGTCTTGTCAGAGGACATTTGAGGCAAAAAACAAAATAAAACAAAACAAAAAACAAAACAAACCAACCAGCACTGCCTGGCAAGAGGATACACTTGTTAGAAGTCCTCTAATTTAAGTAACATGCCTGATAGAGAATTTAAAGCAATGATCATAAGGATTACTCATTGGACTTGAGAAAAGAATGGAAGGCATGAGTGAGACCCTTAACACAGAGATAAGGAATAACATAGCAAAGATAAAGGACTCAATAAATGAAATGAGAAACATGCTTGATGGAATTAACAGCAGGATGGAAGAAGCAGAGGAATGAATTAGTGACCTAGAAGACAGAGTAATGGAAAGTAATCAGACTAAAAAAAAGAGAGAGAGAAAAGAATTATACAAAATGAGAACAGACTTAGAGAACTCAGTGATTCCATCAAATGTAATAACATTCATATTCTAGGAGTCCCAGAAGGAGAAGATAGAGAAAAGGGGTCAAAAAATTTATTTGGAGAAACAATAGCTGAAAACTTCCCTAATCTGGGGAAGGAAACAGATATCCAGATTCAAGAGGCACAGAGAACTCCCACAAAAAAAAACAACAAAAGCAGACCCACACCAAGACATATTGTAATTAAATTTACAAAATGTAGTGATAAAGAAAAAAATTTAAAAGCAGCAAGACTACAGAAGTCAGTAACTTACAAGGGAAAACCCATAAGGCTAGTGGGATATTTTTCAACAGAAACTTTGCAAGCCAGAAGACAGTGGCATGATATATTCGAAGTGTTGAATGGGAAAAATCTGCAGCCAAGAATACTCCATCCATTAAGACTATCATTCAGAATAGAAGGAGAGATAAAGAGTTTCCCAGAAAAACAAAAACTAAAGAAATTCATGACCACTAAACCAGCCCTACAAGAAACATTAAAGGGGACTCTGAGGGGAAAGGAGACAGTATAAAGGCAGGAAACACAAAAGCAGTAAAAATGAATATTTCTGTAAAACATATCAGTCAAGGAACTCACAAAAAAAGGATATAAAATATAATAACATATATCTAAAATGTCAGGAGGAGAGGTGAAAGAATGGATTCAAACTTAAACAACCATCACCCTAATATAGACTGCTATTTGCAGAAGAGGTTATATACAAACATAATGGTAACCATATATCAAAAACCACTAATAAATATTCAAAGAACAAAGAGAAAGAAATCCAGGTATATCACTAAAGAAAATCAGCAAAACATGAAAGAAAGACAAGAAAGGATCAGAGTAAATCTTCAGAGACAACCACAAAACAAGT